GCTCACCTACTTGCTGACTGACCTTGGAGAGCCGCCTCGTTCTCCTCCAGTGCTGTACGTAGACAACAAGGCCATGCTGGCCTTGTGTCGAGAGCAGCGCCTGGAGCACAGAACGAAGCACATTGCTCTCCGCTACTTTCTTGCTCGTGAGCTGCAGCAGCGTGGTCAGTTGCGACTTGCGTACGTGGCCTCTGAGGCCAACACTGCTGATGATTTCACCAAGGCACTTCCGCCTTGTGATCATCAGCGTTTCTGCACTCAGCTGGGACTTGTCCCAGTCTTGCCTCACTTGCTCACCTCTTGATCTTACTTGTACTCTTGCATATATATATACCTGCTCTTGCTTGTTTAGACTTATATATATATGTCTCATCCTGCATGTGAACTGGCCTTGTGGCCTTGACCTTGTGCTCAGACTGTGTGGTGACGTTGTGATCCACCCTGAGCTTGCTTTGCTTTGCTTTGCTTGACTGGTCTTGTGACCCCTTGTTCTCCCCCACTTTGCCTATGGGGGTGTGTCAGAACATTATAGCTTATGCTTTTGTGTAGGCTATAGTGGGGTATCCCATAGGGGGTACAACCCAATTAGGGTTAGTACTTGTACCCACTTCATTCATAGTTCATTCATTTCACGTTCACTTCTTCACACTGTTGGGGGTCGATACTGTACCATGCATCCAAACACTCGTAACATTTTTGTGCTGCCCTGTTTCCCTGTCTACAGCAGATGCGGTGATGCGTTGTTCGGAAGCGATGATGACGACAGCAAGTTGTGCAGCATGACAGCGTGGTCCATTGCTGCAGGCCACTGGTGGTTGGGTAGCCGCATGCCACGTAATAGTTTGCGCATGCTGTTCTGCAGAGTCCTGTTCATTCTTTTTGCTACACCTTGTTGCTGATGGGCGTAGGGAAGAGAGAGGAGCTGCTTGATCCCCCTTTCCGCCAGGTACTGCTTGAATCGCTGAGAGGTGTATTCTCCTCCTCCGTCTGACTGGAAGCTTTTCAGCTTTACGCCCGACTCTCTCTCTGCTACTGGTAGCCAAGCAGCGAATGCTTCGAGGACCATGTCGCGGCTGGGTAGGTTTAGGTGCCAGACGTAACGGGTGGCGGCGTCGATGAAGGTGATTGTGTAGTTGTAGATTACTTGTCCTGGTTCCCGATTGTACAGGATGTCGCTATACACCTTTTCGAGTGGTGCGTACGCGGGTGCGCTCGGGTTGTGACGAGGAGTGAACGGTCGATGTGGTAAGTCGGCTTCGGGGCAGGTAAGGCATGTTCCTCGTGCCCGTTGGAGTTCTCTGCCGTCGAGTAGTAGTAACGAGTCCTTGTCAAGGACTCCTGCTCTTATTGTGTTGTTTAACACAGTGTTGCTTGGGTGTCCCATCCTTGCGTGCCAGGTGCTTTCGTCGGCGCGATGTCCGGGTGATCCTCGATACATATCGGAGTTGGAATAGAAGTTGGTGGTGAAGTTTGCGCTACGATGAACTTCTCGTGGTGCTGGGTGGAGCTGTTGTGCTGGTGGTTGTGGTGTTTCGTCAACGAGGACTGGTGTCGTTGTTGCTGCTACTGTTGATGACGTCTCTGCTGCCGTCGATGATGTCTCTGCTGCTGTCGATGATGTCTCTGCTGCTGCCGATGCTGTCTCTGTTGCTGCCGAATGTTGTATTGTTACTAACGCGCGTGTTCGTTCTGCTTCAGGAATGGTATGTGAATACCAAAAACCTTCCGGGCTGAAGTCTGGATCAAGGTCTGGAGGATGTGTCCAGTCGGTGAAGTTCACGATGGCGTCACTGTCTGCGGTGCCCAGGTCTGGGACGAAGTCGAGGACAAAGACATTGTTTTTCAGGACCGCCTTTTCGATGTAGAGGCCGCCCTTCCCGTGGTATAGCTTGAACTCCTGGGTGGTGCTGTCGGCTTCCAGGTGTATGCCTTTCGTCATCAACTGACTGACGCTCAGTAAGTTGTATCCGAGTCCCTCCGCGATTAGTACTTTTGACATCTGCAGTATAACATTTGTCTCCCGTGACTGAAGTTGCACTACTCCTTGTCGTCGTGTGCGCAGGTTCTGGTTGTTGGTGACTGTGATGACGACCTCTCGTTGAAGTCGGTGCTCGCGTTGGACGAAGCGTCCCGAGGAGCACATGTGCTGTCCGCAGGAACTGTCCAAGAACCATGTGTCTTTCCCGGACGGTTCGCTTTGAGCGATGGCGCCGTACGTCGGGTTTGGTTGAAGTGAATCGCGGCGAGGCGTGCTGTTGTCGAGTTGTTCTTCCGGTGAGTAATATGGTGGTGACTCAGTTACGCAGGAGTCGCTCAGCCTTGCCATGCAGCTGATGATGTTTCTTGTTTCTTTCGCAGGTTGTCCCGTCGATGTTGTTGAGACTTGTACCGAAGTTGTCGGATTTGCTTGCGTTGAGGCGACTTGATTGCTTGAAGGGCGAAGTTGGCGTTGCGGCGTCGTTGACTGTTGTCGATTCAGGCAGTGCGTACGAGGATGCCCTGAAGTCTTGCAGAGGTGGCAGAACGGAGGTACGATTTTTGGTCGACTGTTGTTGTTGTTGTGGCGCCGTTGAGTGTGAAACGCGAATTCGGGTACTAATACCTTTCTCTTGTGTCGTTCTTCTTGCAGGTCCATGTCTTGCTGCTCAGCATGGATTTCGGCGCAGAGTGCTGCTTCGGAGATTCTCCCGTGTGCTCGTAGTATGGCGCGAGTGGAGCGCCAATGAGGACCAAGACCGCCGATGACAACCGTGACGAAGGCGTCTTCTGAAATCGATCCTCCACATCGAAGAAGCTTGTCGCGCAGCTCGCGACAGCGAGTGATATACGCCATTCCCTTCTCGCCTGGTTTCATTTCGATTGTTGTCAGCTGCGCCATTAACCGACTTTGGTTTACGCTGTCTGTTGCTTGATACAGGTTCTTCAAGTGGTTGTACGCGAGCTCCGCGGAGTTGCCATATCCTCGGTAAGTCGTTATGTTCTGCTGTTGAGTCGGGGTGATGTTCCTCAGTAGTATCGTGTACGCCATCATCCATTGATAGGTGTACTGCTGCTTCTCATATTGTGTGCCGTTTGTTGGGTATGGCAGGGACCCGTCGAAGAAGCCAAGGATTTGTGCTCCTTCCATCATCAACTCAAATTCGAACGACCAGGTGAAGAAATCCTTCCCGTCGAAGGGTTTTGTCGCTTGTAGTTTTAGAACGTGCGCGAACTGCGACTGAACTTGTAGTGCGTCCAGTGTTTTCTCTTGTCCCGGTGCAGGTTGTGGTTGTGGCATGAAGCTGACGGAGCCGCGCTGGGGCTCGTACGGAGCGAAGGTAGGTTGTTGTTGTTGATTCCCGCGTGCGTAGGATGAGCCATCGAGACTCATGGGTGTCACGTTGTTGTTGTTGTTGCTGTTGTTTGATTGCACAGGTACTCCTTGCTGATGCTGCTCGTAGAAGGACATGAAGGAGAAGAATTTCTCCATCATGCTTGGATCGAAGCCCGCGCCTTGGTTTGCGGGTGTTTTAGTAGACCCAGCGGCCGGTCTCGTTGTTGTGCCTTCCTCTGTTTGTAGGCCAGAGGCAGGAGTAGGAGTAGTACCAGGAGAGCCGTTGGAGGAGCTCCTCTCCTTTCTGGTAGACATGTCTCTTGGTGTAATTTAAGGGGAAATAGAATCTTAACCCTAACCTGCTCTCATACCATGTTAGGCTTGTCAGAATGTTACTGTTCTCTAGCCTGCAGTGGGGTACTCTATAGTGAGTACAACCCCTTAGGGTTTCCTATATGTATCCTGCTGCTTTCTAGTGAAACTCTCCTTTTTGCCTAAACTATTCTTGCCTGGCTAGGTCTTTCCTAGCTATGGCGCCTTTACTCTATCACTTATTTTCACATGGTTATCAGAGCAGTAAGCTCCTAGCCTGTGGGCCCCACCACACTCCTTCCGCTGGAACTGCTACTCTCCCTTTCCGCCGTGCGCCCCGAGGCGCGCGGCGGGGCGCACGGCGGGTTTCTGCCCCGTCACGCCGTGCGCCGCTCCCGGGAGGCGCTGCGACGGGCGACGGGGACCTCCGCGTCGCCCCCCGTCGCCCGTCGTGGCCTGCGCGCGGCCCGTACAGCCTGCGCGCGGCACGTACGGGCCGCGCCAGACCCGTCCGCGGCCCGTACGGGCTGCGCCAGGCCCGCGCGCGGCCCGTACGGGCTGCGCCAGGCCCGCGCGCGGCCCGTACGGGCTGCGCCAGGCCCGCGCGCGACTCAGGCCGCCCGCGCGCGGGTCGGGCGCCTGTACCAGGTCCGTTGGCGGCCCTTTCTTCACTGCCCCTGCCCTACCTGCTGTTCCCCGTGCCTCTTCCTGGGCCCCACACCTTCTTCTGCCCATTCCTTTGGATTAGGGTTTGGGGGTGAGGGGTATGGGGGTGCAACTTCTGTGTGCCGTTCTCTGCTCCTCCTCCTCCTCCGTCTCCCAGTGCTGCAGCTGCCGCTGAAGGGGGGTGGACCTGTTGGAGCCGTCGGAGTGGTACTAAGGGGGGGTGAAGAGGGAGTGGAGCTAGGGGTGAAGCAGCGGGTGTGTGTCAAGGGGGGTGGGACTGTTTGGGGAGGCTGATCGGAGGTTGCCGTAGTGTCGCCAGCAGCACCTGTGGTCCGGGGAGTTGCTCCGGTAGCCCAGTCGTAGCCACCTGTGCCAGTCGCCCGTGGGTCCGCTGCTCGTCTGCCGCTACTTTTAGCCGCGGGGCCAGTTACTCCAGTAGTCCGGAGCGCTGTTCCGGTAGCCGCTGTGCCAGTGTGCCTCCTGTTGCCCGTGTGTCTGCAGCTTCAGTCGTCGCCTCCTATCTCCTCTCCTCTTACAGTCTCGCCTCCTCCTCCTCACTTGTCCTGTGCGATAGCCTCTAGCTTTGCTCATAATTGTGAACTTTAAACCATTGCTTCTTGTCTTTGTGCTCAGAATGTGTGGTGACATTGTGATCCACCCTGAGGTTGTTCTGCTTTGCTTGCTCTGCTGATTACACCCCACTTTGGCTATGGGGGTGTGTCAGAATGTTACTGTTCTCTAGCCTGCAGTGGGGTACTCTATAGTGAGTACAACCCCTTAGGGTTTCCTATATGTATCCTGCTGCTTTCTAGTGAAACTCTCCTTTTTGCCTAAACTATTCTTGCCTAGCTAGGTCTTTCCTAGCTATGGCGCCTTTACTCTATCACTTATTTTCACAGGGCTGAGTGCCCCTTAGGATCTTTGGTAAGGTTAATCTCTGGGTAGAGTGATGTAGTAGCGGAAGCGTTAACAAAGAGATTCTGAACCACCTTGCGCTAGTATGTGAGGGCAAAGTAAGTTAATTAAAACAAGCAAGTACAAAGGTTTATATAAGAGTACAAAGAATACGAAGAGATATAATTAAATTGTTTTGCTGTTGCGGTTCGATACAGTGCGACTCGGGCAACTGCTCAATGTCGAGTCAGTTGTGTGTCCTTGCTGTCGCGCTGTACTTGTCAGGTCAAAGGTCGCTGACCTTTGACTTTCGAGTAACCTCCAGCGGTTACTTCAACCTCCGAGGGTTGACTCGCCGGTGCTTCGGTATGCTTCGCTTCGCTTGTGCCTTAGTGTTTCGACACGACAGAGGCGCTTAGGACCGATTGTTTCCAACACAAAGCACCCATACGTATTATCTCAGCAGCAGCTGAGCACAGTAGACTATGCTGTTGGGCTGTACGCAAATCAAAGCACATGATATGAGCAATGGTAAGGGGTGAGCCGGGCAGGCCCATGTAGCCACACACGGCACGACTGTACTGCAAATGTACCGCCCACTGTTCACCTCAAACACTTGTGCCTTCTTCCCCCCGCCCCACCAATCCCACCCTGTATTGTGGTGGTGGTGGTGGTGGTGGTGGTGGTGGTGGTGGTGGTGGTGGTGGTGGTGGTGGTGGTGGTGGTGGTGGTGGTGGTGGTGGTGGTGGTGGTGGTGGTGGTGGTGGTGGTGGTGGTGGTGGTGGTGGTGGTGGTGGTGGTGGTGGTGGTGGTGGTGGTGGTGGTGGTGGTGGTGGTGGTGGTGGTGGTGGTGGTGGTGGTGGTGGTGGTGGTGGTGGTGGTGGTGGTGGTGGTGGTGGTGGTGGTGGTGGTGGTGGTGGTGGTGGTGGTGGTGGTGGTGGTGGTGGTGGTGGTGGTGGTGGTTGTTATTGTTGCTGCTGCTGCTGCTGCTGCTGCAGTGTAGCCCGGCCAGCAGTGGCCATCCAAGGTGATGCAACGGGCACAGATACTCCACCCCTCACCACCGCTCCCAACTCCCCCCCCACATCTGCTTCCATGCCTCCTCCCCCGCTACCCTCCCCCCACGTGCCCCCTCGGCCCTGCCCCACTCCACCTAAGCCTTCCCATTGCTCTGCCCCTCTCCCCAAACCGCTGTCCCTAATGTCTCCCGTGGCAGCCCCCCATGTCCCCCCTCCCTTAACCCCCCCCCACGCCTCTCCCCCCATTCTTCCCCATGCCTCTCCTGCCATGCCTGCCATGCTCGCCATGCCTGACCCCATCAGGCCCACACTGCCCTCCACCCCCATCTCCATGCTACCATCTGCTCTCCCGCCCATCCTCACACCCATGCCCATACCCATATCCATGCCCATACTCGTTCCCATGACCGTACCAATGCCCACGCCCATGGCGGCACCTCCTCCCAGCACCGCGTGCATGGCAGAGTTCTGGCCTGCCCCTGTGTGTGCGCCCTGGAAGGGCGGCTGCTGCTGCTGCTGCTGCTGCTGCTGCTGCTGCTGCTGCTGCCGGCACAGCATCTCACTGAATGCCTGCTGCGCATCCCTGCTGCTGCCACCACTGCTGCCGTCCCCCGTGCCACGCACCAATGGCAGCACGCCACCTGGCCGCCCTGATGACGCTGAGAGAGTGGGAGGCAGCGCCGGAAGCCTGGATGGCAGCGATGCCTCAGACACACCTGAAGCAGCACCTGAGAGACACCGCCAGGCGCCACCTGGAATATCTCCTGCCACCCCCATCTCCCCACCTGCAACCTGCCGCCCTGCTCCTCCACCCTCCATCCCACCACCCTCACCCGTGCCCAGCTTGCCCCCAGCCTCGGCCAAACCTGCCTCCGAGCCTGCCATAAGAACGTCCGGAGCAGCCCTGGCTAGACTTGGTAACCAGCGTGTGCCAGGTGGCAAACCACGGGGCTGCCACATCAGCGTGGCAAGCTGCTGCTGTTGTTGTTGGTGGTGGTGGTGGTGGTGGTGGTGGGGGTGGTGGGGGTGGGGGTGGGGGTGGGGGTGGGGGTGGGGGTGGGGGTGGGGGGAGGAGAGGGATGAGGAGCCAGCAGGAAGGGGACCAAGGGTCGTGGTGGTATCCCTAGTGGTGGTTGTGGTCGTGGTCGTGGTGGTGGGGGTGGTGGGCGTGGTGGGGATGGGGGAGGCGCAAGAGTGGGAGAGGGAGAGGGCGGGAGCAGAGGAGGAGGTAGTGGCGATGGCCGAGCACAGAGAGTGTCGTTGAGGGGCAGGCGAGGGGGCTGGGGGGGAGGGAGGCGACGAGATGTGCATGGGGGAGGGGCGGGGTGAGAAGGTGCTGTGAGAGTGTGGGGTGGACATGGCAGCACAGGGCGGGGCGGCAGTGGCAGCAGGAGCTGCACACAGCCCTTCCCCATCCCCCCGCCCTCCCAGCACCGCCTCTCGTGCACCTCCCTGCACGCCCCCTGGAGCAGTAGCAGCGCGGGGCATGGCGGGCACCCCAGTGGCAGCAGGGGTGGCGGCAGGTGGGGCAGGGGCGGGGGGCGAGGGGCGGTGGAAGAGCAGATTGGCGATGGCCCTATCCACCGCGTTCGTGCCCGCCTCTCCTGCGCTCTCCCTGCCGGGACACAGCGGGGAGGGGGGAGGGACAGAGGGGGGAAAGGGAACGGAATAAGGAGAGGGAAGAAAGTTGCAAGGGGAAGTGAACGGGAGGCTAGAGCAGAGGAGAGTGAGATGAGAGAGCGAGAGGGAGACGCGGCAGGGCAACTCACGGAGCGGCATGGGCAACTCACGGAGCGGCATGGGCAACTCACGGAGCGGCATGGGCAACTCACGGAGCGGCATGGGCAACTCACGGAGCGGCATGGGCAACTCGCGGAGCGGCATGGGCGTCCACCGCGGAGTGCTGCCCACCACTGCTGTTCCGTGCCACTGATGCTTCCGAAGCTGTGCACGAGGCTCGGCGGTTGGCAACAGGTGTAGGCTCGGACAAGTGGCGGCGGAGGGAGGGGGATGTGAGGGAGAGGGAGTGGGGAGGCGGCGGGGGGGCGGGGGGGGAAGGGGGAGCGGCGGTGCGGTGGGAGGCGCTGTGGGCGAGGCGCAGCAAGGCATCGCGGATGAGCAGCCTCGTGGCCACGTCCAACTGCATTGGGGGGGGGGGGAGGGCGGGGAGAGAAGGGCAGGGGCGGAGTAGTGGTGAGCGCGCAGAGGCAGCAGGGCATGATGGCACAAAAACGCGTTGCTTGCTCTCCCACCAGGTCTTGCCTCCCACGCGCTCTTGCCTCTCACCTTGCTCATGGTGTCGCCCAGCTGCCCCAGCACCACACACTCCACTGACCCCTCCTCCCCTTCCCCCTCCTCTCTCTTGCTGCCGCCCCCCTCCACTCTGCCTGAAGCCTCCCCGCCCTCCCCACCCCCTCCTCTTTCCGTTCCACCCGTACTGCCCCTCTCCGCGTCCCCTCCGCCCTCGCCCCTGCCCACTGCACGCCCGCCCTGCCCTCCGCCCGCCCCACACGATGCCACCACGGCGCTGCTGTCTCGCCCTGCCCCTACAGCAGCTGACGTGGAGGCTGACGTGACGAATCTCTCAAGGTTGCTGGAGCTGAGCACCACGGCCAGAGGGCGAGCAGCTGCCAGGTCAGGTGGGGCCCACGCCGCGGGGCACCTGCCTGCGGTGGTGGCACTGCCAGCACCACCACGCACATCTGTAGCGCCCACTGCTGCTGCCACTGCTACAGCCGCTGCTTCATTTGAACCCGCTGCTGCTGTTGCTGTTGCTGCTGCTGATGTTGCTGCCAATGGTACCGAGGTGGTGGGTGGGTGGTGGTGCGTGGCAGGGGGTGCAATGGCAGCAGCGTGAGCTGCCGCACTGCATGCCGCCTGCGCGCGCAATTGCTGCTGCGCCTCCATCTGCTGCTGCAACTGCACCTGCTGCAGGTGCTGCAGGTGAGTTAGTTGCTGGGCGGCGTGCAGGTGGTGGGCGTGGTGGGCGGCATGCAGGTGGTGCAGGCGCGCCAGCTTCCTCTGCTCCAGCGCCAGCTGCACCTGAGCTGCCTTCATCTGAGCCGCCTTCATCTGCTGCCGCCGCCGCAGCTTCTCTATCTTCTCCGCTGGCGTCATTGCGCACGCCCCACCTGCCCCTCCTGCTGCTGCTGCTGCTGCTGCTGCTGCTGCTGCTGGGCCTGCACTGGCGGCAGCAGCAGCGGTGGCAGCAGTGAGGGCCGATGCTGCTAGAGCCGGCGTTGCAGCAGCAGGCGGTGCGGCAGGGGACGGAGGTTGCAGGGCGCGGGGTGAGAGGCGGGTGGAGGCAACAGAGGGGGAGGGGCAGGTGGAGAGAGGGGCAGTGGAGGTGGAAGCTTGGGTGCTAGAAGGAAGGGAGGAGGCGCGAGGCAGGTGGGAAGGCGGTGGAAGGAGCGAGGCAGGCACAGAAGCAGGCCACTTGGGTGGGGGCGGGGGAGGGGGGCGGACCAACACTGCAGCCTGGCGGGCTGCAAGGCTGGCAGGAAGCAAATGCGTTGCACCGCCCATCATGCTGCCTGCCATGCTGCCCGCCATGATGCCGCCAATGGCGCTCATGCGATTGCCGCTGCTCGTGCCGGCACTGCCGAGCAGTGCTGTCTCCACCTCGTGCATCCTCGCTTGCTCGTGCTGCTCCACCCACTGCTTCTGCACCACACTCTCATGCTGCCGCGCCTGCTGCTCCTCGCTCACCCCCTGCTGCACCTGCTGCTGATGGTACAGCAGCATCTGCCGCCCCAGCACCCGCTGATCTTGCTGCTGCTGCTGCTGCTGCTGCTGCCCCATGGCGAGGGGGTGCTGCCCCGCCCCCAGGCCGCGCGCCAGCAGGGCAGCAGGGGGCGCGTGGGGGCGGAGCAGGGCGAAGGCGGCAGGCGAGGCGGGCAGTGGCGGTGAGAGGAACGCAGCGGGCACGTGGGGGGGCCGCATGCACGCGGCAGGCAGGGTGGGCGCGGGCGAGGGCGTGGGCGCGGGGAAGAAGGGCAGCGCGGGGAGTGAGGAGGGCGTGGGGACAGAGCGCGGGAGAGGGGCAGGGTGGAGTGAGGAGACGGAGGGGGAAGGGGGGTGCGCGGAGGGGGAGGCGATGAGGGAGTGGCGCAGCAGAGGGGGGGGCGCGGAGGCCACGGTGGGCGAGGAGGACGCCAGGGTGGCACAGTGCGAGTGCGAGTGGGAGTGGGTGTGCAGGTGCGGGTGGGTGGTGGCGGGGCGGGCGGCGGGCGCAGCAGCAGCAGCGGAGTGGGCGGTCTTCCTTGCTGCGGGCGCGCGCTGCTCCCTCTCGTTGCGCCGCCGCGCCAACACTCGCCGCCGCGCCAAGTGCTGCACAGCAGGCAGCAGGCGGGAGGGGCAATGGGGGTGGGGGGTGGTATGAGTGTGTGTCAAGGCAGCACGAGAGTGGTTCAGAGAAGGGAGTGCTGCGAGTGAGTGGGGCGTTGGAATGCATGGGCGAGCATGGAGTGTGCGGACTGATGGTGTGCGGTGAGTGCACTGAAGCAAACGAGTCACCCTGTGCACAGAAACTTGTTGAGCAAAACGCATCACTCCCACTCACCGCATCGCTCACACCACTCCGTATGCCTCCACCCATCGCTGCCACTGCCTCTGCTGCTCCTCCTGCTCGTTCGTCCTTCCCCTTCCCCTCTGCCTGCCCCTCATCCTCGTCCCCCTCGCGCCTGTCGCTTGCGCGCCCCTCGTGTGCGCCTGCGCTCTCCCTCGCCCAATCCGCCCCACCCTGCTCCGCGCCTCGCTCCTCCCCCCTCACTCCCTCGCTCGCCCCCACGTGTGCATCTCCGCTGTCCCCCCCTCCGCCCCCCTTCTCCCCCGTGCTGCTGTTTCTGAAGCCACCCTCTCCCTCCGCCATCACCCCTCCTGCGCCCTCCCCACCCCTCTCCGCCATCCCCTCCGCATTCCCCTCCGCCCGCTCCTCCATGCTCCCCCCACAGGCGGAAGGGAGCGCCGATGCCCTGAGATGGGGGAGACGGGAACGGCGGGAGGCGGAAAGGGAAGGGAGAAAGGGAGACGAAGGAATCAAAACGTTGAAGCGAAGAGCAGATGACGTGGGGGTGAACCGGGGAGGGGGGGAACAGGAGAAGAAGCAACGGGAGTTGTTTGGGAGGAAGGGTGGGGAGTGAATAAGAGGGGGGCGGGGCACTAACGGGAGTGGGCGGACGGCGAGCCCGCTGTGTTCCGCCGCTGACTCCCCGCCACTCCACCCCACTGCGCCGCCCGCCTCCACTGCCGCAGCCCCCTCCGCCTCGCCGCCCCGTCCGCCGCCACTCGCCCCTCTCTCGCCTCCATCGCACGCCCTCTCCCTCTCTCCCGCCCCCTCCTCTCCCCCTTCCCCCATGTCCGCGTCTTCCGCAACGCGCGCGTCCCCCCCTCCGTCGCGCACCTCGCTCTGCTGCATCCCCATCCCCATCCCCATCCCCATGGCCATGCCCATGCCCATGCTCATGCCCCTAGCGCCACCGCGCGCATCCATGCCCATGTTGGCGCGCATGTGCGCGTCCATCATGCGCATCACCGCGCCCTCGTCCCCGCCCCCCCCCCCTATGCCACCGCCGAACTCCCCATGCCCGTAACCCATCCCGTAACCATATCCGTAGCCTGTCCCGCTTCGCCCCGCTCCGCCCTCCCTTTCCGCGCACTGCTGCAACGCAAAATCGTCCGCCGCTTCTACTTTACCCGCCTTCCGCACGCCATCCTCTCCCCTCTGCGCCACGTCCCGCCCGGGTGCGCCCCCCGCCTCCGCCATCCACTCCCCGAGCGCTCCGTCGGTTTCCATCTCGCGAACCGACCGCCTGTCTCCGCTTGCCCCCAGTCCTTCCCCATCCGGCCGTGCGCCCCTTTCCTCCGCGCACCCCATCTCCGCCGACCAGTCCCCGTGGGCGTTGGCGGCATCCGCGGGCACGATGTGATCGTCGGCACCGAACTCGAGCCACACCATGTCGTCGAACTGCGGGGGAGGGGGAGGAAAGGGGGGATGGGGCGGGCGAGCGGGGGAAGGGACGAGGATGAGCGGGACAGCGCACGGCGACGAGGACGGAGAGGTGGACGAGAAGCGGATGATAACGAACGACGGAACTGACAGGGAAGACACGCGCGCAGGGCGAGAGGATAGCACGCAGAGTGCGGCATTCTTTGAGCCTGCTAACACGTCAAATGCTCCCTCGTCGCCCACCCTCGTGCTTCTCTTGCCGGGCTACCGACCACTGGCGCCAGTGCGCGACTGAACCTACAGTTCTTGCTTCACTTCATGCTACAGGTATTGCTGCAGCTACAGCGACAATTCTGCGACGGTTACTGCTACAATAAGTGTTACAGGAGACAGCGGCCCGTACAGATGGAGACAAGCTACCCCCACGCATCTACACCATCAGCTCTTCCTCTTCGCCATGTCATCCTCTCCCAGCGTCTCCTCTACCGTCACCGAAGCTTCCGCTGCACCCACTGCACGCCGCCCGCGCCAGAACCCGCGGCTCCTGCTACCAGCAGCGGCCAGCACGCTCACCGCGGCAGTCCGCGAGAAGGAACTGGCATGGTAGCCCGCATGCTTCTGCGCGACGCGGCGGGCAATAGCGAGTGGGTTGCCAAGGGAAGGGGTAGGGAGGAGGCAGTGGGGCGGCGAGGGAGAGAACGCAACGCACCGTAGACCAAGCGTTGATGGCAGGGTCCGCATCGGCGTCCCCCGCGTTCCACGGCGACGATGACATAAGTATATTGCGACCTGTATTCGTCAGCTGAATCTAAACGGCGTAGCTGGTCGGGAATCTCTACGTGCTCTTCTGCTGCTGTGAAGTCACTGGCCTTTTCGATCTAACCCCTTAGAAATTCGCCTGCTCTGCTTCGTTTACCCCTAACGAATCCTCGTCCGACACAATATCCGTGTTGGCGATGGCTGGCTACGAGGCTAGTCTACGCCGGGCCGGTTGCATGTCCACAGTATGGTGCACGACGGATGCTGGCACGACGCCTGCTGCGCCATAGAGTATTTAGGCCTTGGGGGGAATAAACTTCTAAGCGACAATTCTGCAAGAGCGAGCTAGAGCATAACGATACGACGGCGCCGAATCAATATCATGTTGCACACTGCACGTGTCATCTATCAAGAAACGATATGCAAGACTTGGTCTCCGCATCGCGTGAAGGCTATTCACGATAATCAGGGAATGGTGAAACGGAGCAGCAATGAAGAGAGTCGAAACCATACTCGGGTCGGGTGGATAGGCTGCCTGGCTCTGGCAGGCACTGCAAGGCGAGGGTGGCAGTGAAACTGGTGTGGTAGGGAGGAGTGGTGGAGAGTGTTGTGTTGGGGGGGCCAGGAGGGGGGAGAAACTGTGGCGATTCAAGCAACACTCGAGATGTTTCTGACCGTCGGATCAAGGTCTGCCATCCACGTCTAGCGGTTCTCTTCGACCGGATCAAGATGTTGGCTGAGAAGCGGTCGGACGATCTCCTCGCGTATTTTGCGACGTAGGCGAGCGGATTCTGATGCGACGCAATATTTTTCCCGTCTGTCCTCGAAAGGGGTCTGAAACCCCCATGTGCGTGATGATGTCAGCAGAGAAACTGATTGTACGCATGTGGTCAGAAAAGGCCGCAGAATGCCAGCGCGACGGACTCTGGATTGGCCGTGACCGCGAAGAGCGTGGTGCCTCACAACGCTGCGAGGGCACCTGGCCACTAGAGGATTGCTCCCTCGTTACACGCTACTCTATCCACCCAGCCCCAAGCCGGACGTATGGAACACTCAATTCTCCAGGCGTAAATGGGATACGTACGGATATTTTGAAATTAAGGGAGCCGTGCATATTATCTCCGTTGATGGAGAATTAAGCTGATTGATCCATTTGAGAATAGAAAGAACTCTCAATTACTTCGGGTCATCAATCTTGGAACCAAATTTAGCTCGGTATTATTTGATACCAGTATACAGAAGTGTGATAAATCGGTGTTGTGCTCATGTGTACGTCTGTGCCCACCTGCAACACTGAGGTACGACATCAGTGAAGCGGATCGTACAGTATGCGGAGCGGAGCCTACACGCTGGCACGCATCCCTTTCCTCCCAGTCACCTGTCTCCTTGTCCTGCTGCCGTCATTCCTGCCTCACCTCCATTCCACTAGTACCCGTGAGCTCTTGCACCTTTCACTGATCCAAAGCGCTTCTTGCGGCCGCCATTCTTTTACCAGCGCTCCATAAGTGTTAATCCTAGCACCGTGCGTCTCCTCGCATCCACCTTGGGCACCCCGTCCCGTGCGTCCTCTCGTCCACCATGCTCGCCGCATCTCCCGCTCCGGCTGCCGCACTAGCGGGTGGCCTTCAGGTACCGTCGGTCTCCCTGACCCCCTCCGCGCCCGCCCGCCGTATTACACCGCAACGCGGACCGGCGTCCCATCTGCCACGCTCTCGTCGCCGCATTCCTCCTTTCTTGCGCCGTTTCGCCCATGCGTTTACACCCCCGCTTTCCCCCCGCGTCTTCCGAATCCCCTCTCGCGCTCGCCTCCTCGCTCTATCGCTCCGCTCCATGCGCATCGTCCTCGTCACGCGCTCTTGCTTCCCCCCGCTCTTCCCCAACGCTTCCCCCTCCCTCCTCTTCCTCCCCCCCCCTTTCTCCACCCCACCACAAACCCTTCACCTCGCCCCCGCTCGCCTTCCATTGTACTCCCCGCGGAAAGGCCGCCTGCCCGCCGCAGCATGGGGGCGCGCGGGGAGGCGCGCGGGCATGCACAGGCTGGTTGACGGGCGGAGAGCTGAGAGGCGCGCTCTCTCACAGCGCGGCCCAAAGCGGACTATCCGCGCATTCCTGTCGAAAAGCGCCTCGTGGAGCCGCGAGACGCGGCGCGCCTGTTGTTTGCTCCGCGGCTGCTAAGCCCGCTTTTGGGCGGCAGATGCTGGTGAGGCGCAGGAGGGGGAGGGAGGGTCGGGGCCGGGGCCGGGGAAAAGGGGTTGAGGTCACCGGGGACACGCACGGAAGGGGACAGGAGAGGGAGCAGCATAGGAGCAAGGGGATGCGCCTGGTGCGTGTGTGTGTGTGTGGTGCCGCCCCTCACATGCACTCGCATGTGCCGCCCCTCACATGCACTCGCATGTGCGCTCCGCTGCCCACTGCCTCGCTGCCCACTGCAACAGCCCCTTCTATTCCTCCTCCCAAACCTTGCCTTTCCCCATTCCATTCACCCCCCGCCCTGTGTGCGCGCGTGGCCTGTGAGCAGGTGATGGTGCCGCCACACCCGCTGATCAAGCACTGGATCGCCATCCTGCGCAACGCCACCTCGCCGCCCCCCATCTTCCGTCAGTCCCCGCCGCTCCACCCCTGCTCAATGCTGGTCAACGCTGGTCAATGCCAGTCGTTGGTGGTGAATGATAGTGCAGGCCAAAGGCCCAGTCTGTTGGCGTGACTCATGAATGCGGTTGCCTGTGCTTCAGTGTCCACCCCTGCCGTGCCCCCTTTGCCCCACATGCTGCCATGCTGCCATGCCCCTCCTCCCCGCGTGTCGACCTGCAGGTGCCGCACTGGCCGAGCTTGGTCGCAACATCGCTTATGAAGCAACGCGTGATTGGCTGGTAAGTTGACCACCACTTACATGTCGCCATCCACTCAACCGTTCCCCCTGCACACCCATCGCAGTGCCACCAGCGCAACGAGTCGACCCCTACTGCACTGCACTGCATCGCCCTCACTCCGCCCTCCTCTCTTCAGTCCAGATCTCATGTGCTCCTCTGCCTGCCCCTCTCTCTCCTCGCCTTCCCATCCCCTTTACAACCCCCCCCTCCTCCCTGGTGGGCGGCAGCCCATGATTAACGGCGAGGTGGCCACGCCCTGTGGCGTAGCTGAGGTGGAGGCCGTTGACCCCTACAAGCCAATCGCGGTGAGCCACGTGGCAGCCCCACGCTGCATGCTTCCCATGTGCATGGACGAGCAAAATAATGTTCCCTGCAGTTCTGTGCGTAATCACCAACCATGCCGCACCACTGTTGCCTCACAGCCAGTTGCTTATGCACCTAATCTCCTCTCCTTTCCTCTCCTTTCCTCTCCTCGCCCCACCCGCCCCACCACATGTGCGTGTGTGTATGCATGGGGGGCAGATCATCCCGGTGCTGAGGGCGGGGGCGGTCATGGCAGAGCAAATGGGGCCAGTCATCCCGCACACCATCACCTACCACCTCGGTATTGCCTCCTACCACCTCGGTATTGCCTCCTACCACCTCGGTATTGCCTTGAAAGCATATTGATATTACAGGCAACACGTATGCCATGTGTGCCATCATGCTCACCACCTTGTGCACCTGGGAGCGCTCCTTCGAACATGTGTGTGCCACGTGTGCCACGTGTGCCATTATCACACACCACCTGTCAGTCATCTCTCTCCCTTGCGCCGTGCACGCATTCGCCCCCCCCACCCCCCCTCATTCATGCATCACCCCGTGCATGAGGTCAGGCTACGTGCGGGACGAGACCACGCTCCAGCCAACGCTCTACCTCAACAAGTCAGTGCCCTCTGCCCCACTCCACCCCCCCTCACCCCGCTCACTGCTGCCTGCACCGCTCTGCTTCTCTGCCAATCATTCCTGCCAAGCCACCCCACCCACCCCTTCAATGCCCCGCTCACCTCGCCCATTCTCGCTCGTCCCCTCCCCCATGCATGCACCAGGCTGCCCAAGTCGTTCAACCCCGAGGCGCGGATCATCATCGTGGACGCCATGCTCGCCACCGGTCAGTGCGCCTTGTTGCACACCCACACATGCGAGCAGGATGACACATGCTCGCATGGGGAGCATGCTTGCAAGGCACACATGCCCCTATAGGGAATGCAGCCTGCTGGGTGCTGTCGACTGCCCGCATACACACCATGCCCTCCACGCCTTATCCACTCTCTCATGATCTCTTCCCATCCCGCCTCATCCCACCGCACTGCACCGCATGTGGGCACAGGTGGCACGATGATGGCAACGATGGAGGAGGTGGTGGGGCGAGGAGCCAACCCCGACAACATCCGCATCGTACTGCCCCGCCCCTCACTGCCCTCCCACACCTCTCATCTCATGCCCGCTCACGTCCTGCCGCCCTGCCCTTTCCCCCCATTCCCCTCGCCCCGCCCTGCCCTGCCCTGCCCTTCCCTTCCCTCCCAATCGTGTCATGCCCGCTAACATCCTGCCACCCTGCCCTTCCCTCCCCGCCCCGCCATACCCTGCTCTGCCCTGCCCTACCCTGCCCTACCCTGCTCTGCCCTGCCGTGCCTTGTCACACCCTTGTTGCTGTTCCATGTCTGTATTGCCCTGTGCTGCCATGAGCTGTCATGCACACCTATTCCACATGCCATGCCATGCCAATATGCTGTGTCTTATGAGGGGAGGCCTCATCACTCCCCCTCTTCTCTGCGTGTGCGTGACAGATATCGGCCATAGTGGCATCGCCAGCACTCAAGCTCCTGAGTGAGAAGTACAAAGGGTGAGCCGCACACACGCAACCCTCTCCATCTCACCACGCACACTCGCAACCCTCTCCATCTCACCACGCACACTCGCAACCCTCTCCATCTCACCACGCACACTCGCAACCCTCTCCATCTCACCACGCACACTCGCCACAGTAGTCGTTTCAATGCACATGTCTGCTCTGCACCCCTCTGCTCTGCACCCCTCTGCTCTGCACCCCTCTGCTCTGCACCCCTCTGCTCTGCACCCGTCTGCGCTGCCTTATGTCTAACCCAAGCGTGGCTGCATTCATATAACTTGTTGCCCGTGTGCTACCACCCCTACCCCCGCCACCATGCATGCAGGCTGCGAGTGTACACGGGGATGATCGATGCTGACGTCAACGACCAAGGGTATGCCCGCCACACCACACCATGCCCCCACCCCACCTGTCTTGCCTCTGCCCTGTCGCCTTTAATGCCCACCTGCGCACACATCCCTTCCTTTCCTCATTTCTTCATCCCCTCCGTTCCCTCTCGGGCTGTTCACTCCCACTCGCACCCCCTTGCATGCATCCCCCGCACATCAGGTTCATTGTACCTGGACTAGGCGACGCCGGAGACAGGAGCTACGGCACCTTGTAGCACCAGCTGCTCTTGTGAAAAGCACAGGCTTGCAGGGAGTGCTCGCAGTGGGGCACTCTCCGTTGCCTTGCTTTACACACTTGTTTTTGGTGGTCAAATGTTGTAATTGTCAGGTTTATACAGAAATTACGATTCACATAGTTATGCACAGTAGGAAGCACAATGCTGTTGCTCTATCTGCAACGTCGACGCCGTGACAAAAGCACAGGCAAATCAAAAGATGAGTGCCTCATCAAGAGCTCTGTTCTATTCGTGTGCCGGGCGCAAACAGCGCAGTGGTTCCTAAGCGACTGGTTGCAGTGCGGGCATGTCCTTCTTGATGGCGAATATGGCGTTCAGCACATCCTCCACCACCTGCCATGCCATGCCATGCCATGCCATGCCATGCACGGGGGGGTTAGGGCACAGAGGTAGGGCATAGGAGTAGGGCACACGACACACAGGGACCATGGCATAGGGCAGAGGAGGGTTAGGTTGGGTGCGCAGCACAGGGCACGGGCGGGGTAGGAACATGGCACAGGGCACTTGGCACACCAAGCACGCCACAGGGAAGGTGGTGCAGGGCATGGGGCACTGTGCACAGGGCATGGGGCACTGTGCACAGGGCATGGGGCACTGTGCACAGGGCATGGGGCACTGTGCACAGGGCATGGGGCACTGTGCACAGGGCACATCATGTGAGAGCGAGTGCCTCACCTTGTGAGAGCGAGTGCCTCACCTTGTGAGAGCGAGTGCCTCACCTTGTGAGAGCGAGTGCCTCACCTTGTGAGAGCGAGTGCCTCACCTTGTGAGAGCGAGTGCCTCACCTTGTGAGAGCGAGTGCCTCACCTTGTGAGAGCGAGTGCCTCACCTTGTGAGAGCGAGTGCCTCACCTTGTGAGAGCGAGTGCCTCACCTTGTGAGAGCGAGTGCCTCACCTTGTGAGAGCGAGTGCCTCACCTTGTGAGAGCGAGTGCCTCACCTTGTGAGAGCGAGTGCCTCACCTTGTGAGAGCGAGTGCCTCACCTTGTGAGAGCGAGTGCCTCACCTTGTGAGAGCGAGTGCCTCACCTTGTGAGAGCGAGTGCCTCACCTTGTGAGAGCGAGTGCCTCACCTTGTCGGGGGTGGAGGCCCCCGAAGTGACGCCGATGCGGATGGGGCCGGGCGGCAGGAAGCCCTCCGTCTCCTTGAGCTCGCCATAGTACAGCTTGTGCGTTACGCGGTTACCAGGGCCGATGCGCGTGGGCTCGTCGACCCAGTAGGAGGGGATGCCCTTGTGCTCGGCGATCTCCTGCAGGTGCGACGTGTTGCTGCTGTTGAGCCCGCCCACCACGATCATCAGGTCCATGGGCCTCTCCACCAGCGCGTACATCGCGTCCTGCCTCTCCTGCTCGCGCCAACAGGGGGTGGGGGGGCAGGGGGAACAAGGGGGGCAGGAGAAGGGAGGTGGGAGTGGAGGGGAAGAGGAGGTATTGAGCTGGGTAGAAGGGTGTGTTGTGGAGGTGGGATGGGTTCACTGGTGCATATGTGGCGTGTCGGTGCGGCCGTCAAGCTGGGAGCGGCGGAGCGAGCAAGGGTGCACGCACTCCCTCCCACCCAGCAATACTCCTTCCCCCTCCCTGATCTCCCCGCTCTCCTCCCTATCGGATCAATCCCCCCGTGGGTGGGTGGGTGGGAGAGCACCTGAGTGGCGTCACAGATGGTGTTGAAGCTCATGAAGTGCGAGTTCACGTTGGTGGCACCGAACTTGCTCATCATCGTGCGCTCCAACAGCTTGCCTGCATTGCATGCACCAGCCATGCGCCACAACCATCAAGCCACACCCATGGGCCACAACCACGGGCGCGTGAGAAGCACGTGGAGGCGGAGGGCAGCAAGGCAGCAGAGAGAGGAATGATGGGTATGGGTGTTGCCTGGGGTTGGGTTGCAGCTCACACAGTGGGGGTGGGGAGAGGGGCAGGTGGAGCATGTGGGGTGCATGTCAGCAGCACGAGAGGGGTGCGCGAGAGAGGGAGCAGGGAGACGAGAGGCGTGGGTGGGGAGGGAGCCATGTGAGGCATGGGGGGTGTGGGTGGGGTGGTGGAGGCTGACCGATCATCTCAGTCTCGCCCTTGAGCATGGTGGTCTGGTTCGCAATGCCCAGGCGCTCCAGGTCTGTGTCCGGGTCGAATCCCTTTGACACCGCCTTGGCAAACTTCTGTCAGCCCGCATGCACGCACACGCACATGGGGGGACGAAGGGGAGGCGGGGGACGGAAGAGGGCGTTGGGGATGGCGTGAGTGGGGGGCGTGAGGGTGACGGCATGGCATGGCATGATGATGAGGGGAAGCAGAGGCGACAGCAGGAACGTCAACGATTGGCACATGAAGCAGGGTTGGCAGGCAGGAGCAGCCAGGAGCAACTCGCCTGGAGGAACCCTTCCCGAGTTCCGCTGGAGCCGTCCAGCTTGCCGCCCAGGATGTAGTCGCACACGTAGTGCGCCTGCAGTGGCGCACGTGGGCACAGTGAGGGGGGGGGGGGGGGGGGGGGGGGGGGGGGGGGGGGGGGCGGAGGGAGGGGAGTGAGGGGTGAGCGGGCAGGCAAAAGCAGCAGGATGGCGTGCGCGTGTGTGAGGGTGTGCAGGAGGCGGGAAACAGACGTGCAGTGCGTCCGCGAGGGGAGAAGAGCAGAGAGGTGGCGGTGAGTGGTGAGAGCAGGGGGGTGCCTGGATAGGAGCACAAACACGTGTCGAGTGCGGCATGTGTTGCCCCTACGCCCAACCGTATCCATTCCTCCGCCTCATTCCCGCCCTCACCCCCTGCCCCTACCAACCCACACCTCCTTCATGCCCCTAACCCCTGTGCGCGCGCACCACCTTCGTGCGTGTTTCCACCCCCCTGCGCGCGCGTACCTCCTTCATGTCCTTGACGACGATGTAGGTGCCGGCGTACGAGGCGGTGGCGACCGTCTCCTCGTGCGCGTACTTGCCGTGAATCACGGACGTGAACTGCCCGCGCTTGTGCTTGTCCACCGTGTCCCACACCTGCTCACCGCACACGCAACGCACGGGACATGCGAGAGGGGGCACGGGAGGACGAGGGAGGTTGGGAGGAGGAGCACGGGAGGAGTATGGGAGGAGGAGGAGGAGAGTGCATGGGTGGAGGAAGGGAATTCGGGGCAGTAAGCCTACCAGGGGGTAAGAGGCGCAGGTGGGAGAGGTAAGAATCACTGGTACGGGGGGAGGGGGGGGAGGGGGGGGGGGGGAAGTGGGGGAAGGAGGGGAGAAGGAGGGGGGAAGGAAGGGGGAGGTAAGGAGGGTTACCTTGGAGACCCAGGGGCAGGTGGTATCGACCATCTGCACGTTGCGGTCGTGGAACATGGTCACCTCCTGCAGCGACGCGCCGAACGCCGGCAGCACCACCACGTTGTCGTCGCCCACCACGCTGAAGTCCTTGCTGCCGTCCCCGCGCGTCTCGATGAAACTCATCCCCATGCTCTCCATTTTCTGCCACCCGTACAAAGGGTACACCGCATGACACGCGCACCGCAGAACGCATTCAATCGACGGTCGCGGCGCGGCGAACGGAACAGAAACACGATTGCGGAAATGGAGGGCGAGCACGCATGATGACACATGGCGTGTGGCGGTGAGCTTCACGGGGGGAAGGGACGGAGGGGAAGGCGGATGGCACGCACGTCGTTGACGGTGGGGTTGTGGATGATCTCATTGGTCACCCAGATCTTCTGGTCGGGGAACTGCTTGCGCGCCTCGTACGCCATCTGCACGGCGCGCTCCACGCCCCAGCAGAAGCCGAGCGACTCGGCGAGCATGACAGTGACGTCGCCCCACGTGTACTCGTTGTTGTTCTCGCGCAGAGTCTTCACCACGTCGCCTGCACGCAGGGAGGGACGGCCGTGTGAGGAGACACACGCTCACGACCAGGCGGAGCTCCCCGCGCTGCTCGGAGGGCTCAACGACATCAGAATTCGCGGAGGACCCAACACACCAAATCTTCTCATTTCACGAAAAACGAAAGGAATTTTTTGAATATTAGCAATCTCGAGAAAAAATATAAAATCCTCAATTCTAATGAGAAGTGCGTGCAAGGCGGCAGCTTGCAGCGGGCATTGGACTCACTCGTGTATTCCTGCTCCATCCGCTCCAGCATCTCCTTCTTGTACCCGAACCCGCTGCGATTGTAGTTGTCGCTCTTATTCAACGCTCGGCGGAAAGCGCGACCATCGACAGCCGCCTCGCTCTCCTCACCATGGCACCTGATTCCTGCTGGTAGGCGCTTCGCTCCAGCAGCACGGCTCGGCCTCGAAACAGGGCATGCCGCAAAGCTTGATCGAGAAGAATAAGACGATGCAAGCACTGCCGATTGCACGGGAGCAGCAGCCATGGCGACACGAGCAGTGGCAGCGGACACGGCAGCCATGATTCGAGTACAGGTTCAAAGGTGGAGGAGACAAGCAGGGAGGAGTCTTGGGAAGAGCGGGGACAGAGAAGGGTTGTCTCGCACAACCAGTCACATCCTTGTTGCGATCTCAGTTACCTCAGGCGAACGATTTGCGAAGACACTTCTCTGGCAAGCGGGTGGGTACCTTATCATTTCGAAAGGAATCGCTTTCGCGAATTGTGACTGGCCATTTCAGCCAAGAATGTGGAATTTGGAAAACGGCCAGCCAATCGCAGACTTGCTTAGGTGTTTCGGGAGCATGAATGTGGTCGCCCAAAACACTACAATACGAGATAGAAATTTCTTATTGTTCACCTTGATGATTCAGGTTCTATGTACATTATTCTAAGAAACGCTGGAAAATCAGGTGAATTATAATTTGTGAGGAGCTCATCTCAGCCCAGACATATATAAAAACATATTAAACTAAGCTTATATTCTGGAATATGAATCTAATCGGCATAAAAAGCCTGAACCTACATGTGGGCTGTTATGGCAATATATAAGGAATAGGCCTACAATAACAATACAGTTTGCGTTCTATGCACCATCGCATCACAACGGCAGCATGGAGCGGTCACCGTTCAAACGGTGCTTTGGGCAGGCCGACTTGGTTTGGCGCCTAGTACACTCCAGCCATTCGCGAAGAAGGTCGAACGTGGCCGGAATGGCTCGCCATTTCGATTCGCACAAATCGCTGCGACTCGATGCGAATGGGTGCGCAATTCGTGCTGGGGTGCATTGTGCCAGCTAGCGAGGGGTGGTGGGAGTAGAAAAGGGGGCGGAGAGAATTGCACAATGTGTGTTGCTCTGCAGAACCATCGCATTGCGACGAGGAATTACTTGTGCGACGAACGACTTACTTGCGACCTGACTACTTGCTCTCTGTGCGCTACCTACGACTACGGGAACTTCACGAACGACGAGAAATTCAAGCTTTGGGTTCAGGCAGAACCACGCGAATCAAATTTCACCGGCCTCTCTGAGTCAACGCTGTTGACACCGACCACTCACCCCCACCCACCCACGTTCCCTTCCATTCTGCTTCTTCCTTGGCTCGATTTCGCGTCTCTCTGTCTCCCTGTTGTGCAGTCCGTCTTTCGGTTGCTTTGCCTTGTTTGTTGTGGTATCGCTTGCCGTCCCTTGCCTGTCTTGCCCTTGTCTCCGCAATCCCCCCCCCCCCCCCAGTCCTTCCCCAAGCACGTCATGGAGAAGTTCACGATGACCATCGACACGCCGCCAAGGGCCGCGCGCAGCACCATCGCAAGCGGCTCCAGCCATCAGAAGCGACACGCCGCCGGCACTCCCAATGCAGACCGCAGCACGCCCGCGTCCGTAAAGAGGTCGCTCAAGCTCTCCACCCCGCGCCGCACTCCCTCCCAGGTATTGCCGAACACCCAGCGAGCCGTTGGGTTTGACCCGTAGGCGTCAGCTTCCAGCCAAGCGCCGATCGTCCCAGCGAATGCACTCAGATTCGTATCCGCGCCTCGCTTGCGCCAGATGCGCTTGCTTCCTGCTTCGCGTCACAATTAGTATCGTAAGACGCTCGTGAGTGCGAATTGCGGCTGACGGTGCTCGGGTCGCCCGTGGCAGGCGGACCGCTTCATCCCCAACCGCGGCGCCATGGACCTGGACATGGCTCGCTTCAACATGGCGCGTGACGTCACCACCAGCAGCGGCGCCAGGGAGAACGGCGCGTCGCACGAAGTCACCTCGCCCAACGCGGTAAGTCTCGCCGCGCAGACTCGTCGTACTGCCATTCACCGCCCGCGTTCCTCGTCGCATATACCTTCTTCCCTTTTCCCGCCACCCCTCCCTCCATCGACTCCCTCCGCATCCGCCCTCATTCCCTTTTCCCTCTCCTCCCCCCCAGGCGCAGTACCGGAAGCAGCTGGCGGAGAATCTCCTCCGCGACAGCCCTTCCGCCAACACCACCCCCTGCGCCCGCCCCCGCGGCGCCAAGATCCTCTCCTTCAAGCCCGCGGGCTCTCCTTCCTCCGACTCCTCCGACTTCCCCGCCCGCGGGGCGCTCTTCTCCCCCGCCGCTTCCGCCAGCGCGAGCTGCGGGAAGCGCAAGGCGTTCCGGTACGTGCCGCAGGCGGCGGAGCGCATTCTGGACGCGCCGGAGCTGGTGGACGACTACTACCTCAACCTGCTCGACTGGAGCTCCTCCAACGTCGTCGCACTCGCGCTCGGCGCGTCTGTTTACCTCTGGGACGCCGCCACCGGCGCCATTGAAGAGCTTCTGCACGTGGGCGGCGAGGGCGCGGACGAGGGCGCGGGCAGCGCGGAGTACGTGAGCAGCGTGGCGTGGGCGGCGGACGGGAAGCACCTGGCGGTGGGGCTGAGCTCCGCGGAGGTGCAGGTGTGGGACAGCCAGCGCCTCAAGCAGGTGCGCGCGCTCAAGGGCCACGCGGGGCGCGTCGGCGCCATGGACTGGAACGGCGCGACGCTCTCGACGGGCGGGCGCGACGGCGCGATCCTCAACCACGACGTGCGCATGCGGCACCACGTGACGTCGCGCCTCGCAGGGCACGAGCTGGAGGTGTGCGGCCTCAAGTGGTCGCCGTCTGGCCGCCAGCTGGCGAGCGGCGGAAACGACAACCTGCTGCACATCTGGGACGCCTCCGCCATGGCCTCCGCCTCCGCCGCCTCCGCCTTCTCCGCGTCGTCCGGGTCCTCCGCTCGCCTGGCCAACGGCAACGCGCCGTGGCTGCACCGCCTGGACCTCCACCAGGCCGCCGTGAAGGCGCTCGCGTGGTGCCCCTTCCAAGCCAACCTCCTCGCCTCGGGCGGAGGCTCGGCGGACCGAACCATCAAGTTCTGGAACACCCAGACGGGCGCGTGCGTGCGCAGCGTGGACACGGAATCACAGGTATGCGCGCTGCAGTGGTCGCAGCACGACAAGGAGCTGCTGTCGTCGCATGGGTACAGCCGCAACCAGCTGTGCCTGTGGCACTACCCCACCATGGGCAAGCTCGCTGAGCTCTCCGGCCACTCCGCGCGCGTGCTGCACCTTGCGCAGAGCCCTGACGGCGCCACCGTCGCCTCCGCTGCCGCGGACGAGACGCTGCGCTTCTGGAAGGCATTCGGCGGCCCCAAGGGCGAGCAGGCCGGCAAGGCGGGCAGCAGGGCTGGCAGTGGGAGTGGCAGCCTTGAGCGTGGGTTCAGCAGCCGCAGCATGAGCCTCAGGTAAAATGGTTGGGCTGGTGGCAGCAGCATCAGTTTCAGTGGCAGCATTGGTGGCAGCAGCATCAGTTTCAGTGGCAGCAGCATCAGTTTCAGTGGCAGCAGCATCAGTTTCAGTGGCAGCATCAGTTTCAGTGGCAGCATTGGTGGCAGCAGCATCAGTTTCAGTGGTAGCGGCATGAGTTTCGGTGGCAGCATCGGTGGCAGCATCGGCAGCACTTGGTAGCTAGGAGGTCCGCATGCAAGGCTCTCCTTGTGGCATGGCATGGCTGCCTGCACTCACATAACAAGTTCACGCTCCATCGCCAATACACTCCATCGCCAATACACTCCACTCTACTTGGCATGCATTGCTGTGGATCCTAGATTTGGGGGTAGGACGCCTCTCGCTGACCCTCCCCTCACCTTGATTATAACATAACGTGTACATACCTGACTTGAATGACAGCTGCACATTGCACTTTGCATGAGGCGTCTGTGTACCCGTGCTGGAAACAGCCTCCCTGAGAAGACGGGAGGAATGTGTACAAGTGGATGGGGCGAGCAGAGCTCGTGCAGCAATGAGTCCCGTACCATGTCAATGTGGCTTGGTCTTGCTGCAGTACTGCACTCCCATTAGCAGCGCTATTCTTCAGTCTGGTCACAACTTCACACGGCTGTTCTTCAACGTTGTTCAGCATCCTAAGGCTGTTAGGGGTAGTGAGTTTAAGAGGCCTCCTCTGATCCTCCCCTCCATTGATTGTACCGGTAACGTACCGTAACATGCACCGGTTCCGTACCTGACTTGAATGACTGACAGCTGCACATTGCACGTGTACAGTACCGTATGGTGTATGCACCCTTTATGGAAACTGACTCTCTGAGAAGAGAAGCCAGGAAAAGGATTGTCTATTTGAAAGTGCCTTTAGTCAGCACTGCTCCGTGCAGCAATCTATGGTACACAGTACTCCGCTCTGTACTCCCTCCCATCTGCACTACCGTCCAAGGTCTGGTGACAAATCTAAGCTCAACTTTCCAAGGTTGTTCTGTGCGGCATCCATAGTAGCTGTGCCTCTAGTCTATAGGCTGCTAGGAGCAGTGAGACAAGTTTGGCTTATAAACAACTGCATTTAACCCATTGGATTGTAAGGCATGTGTACATATCGTATATCATAATTGCTTTTATAAGTGGTTGTATTTGGAGGTGTAGTCGAGCACCCAGACGGGCAAGCAGTAGACGAGTATGCCAATGAGGAAGGAGGGGAGGATGGTGATGCAGTAGAGGTAGAAGTAGGGGCGCCAGCAGCGGCCGGTCTTGGCCTTATGCAGCGCGAGGACCTCCACCATGAGCGTTGACACGGTGCTCAGTGACCCCAGGAACCCCAGCTGTAGCGCTCCAACCGCCAGCACACTCACCTCGTTGTTGTACTGTGGAGTGGAGTGGGGGGAGGAGGGGAAACAGGGAGGAATGGAGGGAGGAAGTGAGGAGGCAAGTGGGAGGGCAGGAGGTGGGGTGAGGCAGAATGACAATGCTGGGTTGGGGTGGAGAGGGGTGAGTGTACGAGTGTGCAAGGCAGCGAGTGCACTGGTAGCTACAACAGATGTGAATGAGTGAAGGTGGGTACGACTCACAGTGAGCACGACGGTAGAGAGGGCGGCCTCCAGCACGGACGCGCTCACGTTGGCAGCCACCGTGCCCACAGGCACCCACTGCCACCACCGCCCCTTGCCCACCGCCCCGCCGTTCAACCACGACAGGTACCAGCGCAGCCACGCGCCCGGCGCCGCCACCACGCACGCAAACCAGAGACGGCGCGTCTTGGACGACCAGTCGTCGAGCGCGGTGCCGATGGCGGCGGCGGTGACGAGGAAGACGGAGAGGCAGAAGAAGAGCAGCAGCGACGCCCACCGCCGGTCAAAGTGGTCCCCGCGTGGCGCGCGCAGGGGTGGTTTCCCGTGCGCGGTGCGGCGGTCGTTGGCGCGCTTGATCTGCCACTTGATGCCATCCGCCAAGTCGATCCCCGCCATGAGCGACACGAAGGGCAGCGCGGCACCGACGATGTAGCCGGCGAGCGCGCGCACCCAGAGGCCGGAGGCGAGGATGGCGAGCATGCGCTGATTCCACGACGCGAACGTCGTGATGCAGCCGCACAGCCCCGTTGAGAGCCCGATGGCCAGGTGCTCCGAATACGCCGCTATGTGCCGCTTCGCCGCCACGCCCACCATGCCCATTATGAAACTGCCCGCCTGCCGTGGAGCAGGGGGAGGGGAGGAGACGGGAAGGAGGGGTGGGGGGAGGAAACGAGGAGGGCGCGGTGAGTTGGGAGGGGAGCGCGGAAAGGAGGGAAGACGGGAGGGTGGGAGCGGGGAGGTGGGTGCGAGAGTGGAGTGAAGGGAGGAGGGGGAGTAGGTGTGAAGGGGCGCGACTCACGATGTTGGCGGGCAGGTCGATGAAGACGGTCTGCTCGTCGTCCGTCACGTGCGCCACCTCCGGCCCGAACAGCACCTCCAGCCCGTACCGGATCAGCACCTGCGCACGCCGCCGCGCGCCGCCGTCCGCACGCGCACACGCAGCGACCGCACAGGAGTGGGGCGGCGAAAGCACGGAGAGAGGGGGTAAGAGAGGGGAAGGGACCTGCACTGAGGTGAATTCGCGAGGAGCAGCGCGGGGATGATGCGGCAAGAGAGCGAGGGGTTCTGGCGCGGTGCGGTGTAGATGGGATGAAAGCGAGCGCTTCGCGGCGGACGTACCCCGATGATGGCGAAGGTGGCGAGGTGCACGAGCACCGACACGTGCGCCAGCCATGGCTCGAGCCGCTCGTCCTCCTCCGGAACCTGCTCGCGCGCGCGCGCCCAGGGGGACGTTACAGGGGGGTTGACCAGAGGGGGACGGGCTGTGAGGGGGAAGCGGATAAAGGCGGCACACAGGGCAGGACAAGGCGGGGAGGCCAGATATTACACGCTCGAAGCAAGCGCGCCGAGCTGCCATGAAGCCTTGACAGGGTTGCGACTAGACCTGCGTCGCTGCCTTTGTCAATTAACGCCACCAGAGGGGATTGAACCCGACTCGCCTGTATTTCGGATAGCGGCGGTTGAGCAGCAGCTGGCGCCGCAACGACAATGGCGGCGGGAGGTGACGAGGCAAGCCCGGAGGCGGGAGGCGCAATGTCCACTGCGGCGGCTTCCGCGGACGCGGAAACCACGGCGAGCTGCTGCGAGCGTCTGGCGGCACTGTCGGACGCCATCGCGCTTAAGAGTATAATAAGACTAACTATATCGAAACTGCAAACCAGAAGCCTTCTTGAGGGTATAAATCCGTAACCTAATACCTTAACTAAAGAAGATCAGTCGACCTAACGATCAATAAGTGTGAGTGCGGCGAGAGTGGTTTCATGACTAGCATTCACCAAAGCACACAGCACGCGAATCAGCCAGCGTAGCTCACGACGGACGCTCGCGCCATGCGTACACCATGAGACAGGGAGTGCGAGGTCGCGGGTAGAGAAGCTAGAGTAGCGACGGATATTGCAGTACAGTGAAGTGGTACGCATGCCAGATGAGCCCGACAACCAGAGGTCAGGTGTAGGTGCAGCAAGCGGCAACCCGCGGCATGCCGCGGAGCAGACAGCGCAGGCAAGGCGGGAGGGGGGCGGACACTTGCAGGGGAAGATGGGGTTCACTTGGATTGCAGGCGCGCAGATGGGGATGCGGAAGAGGGGGATCGGCAGAGGGGGGCGGAAAAAGAAAGAGACGTGGGAAGGCGCGGTTGCGGGGAAGCAGATTTGCTGCGCGCGGAAGAAACAGTTTCGGTTTGTGATGTGAGGTGAAGGGAGGAGGTAGGGGGGAGGGGGATGTGCGGCGGGCGAGGGGGCAACCAGTGCGGGTGGGGCTACAGTATCGGATGTGGGGGGGGTGTGGGGGCCTTGCGTTGCCTGTAAGCGCGGGCCAATCAGGTGGCGGTCCAACGAACCCAGCGAAACCCTAGAGGTTGTACCTTCACCTGATGCCCCTCCCTACCGCCACGCCACCGCGAAACGAGAGCTGCCCGCACGGAAAATACATAATGACTATCTCACCACAAATTTGACGCATAACGCAATTGCGTGTGCTAAAATGGTATATGCTCTTACTTGCAATCGCAGTATTCAGTATCGCACTAATAAATGATGTCAGAGTGTCAGCTTTCCCGCCACCACCCCATTCGCCAGCAGGATGAGATCCCCAAGGATACAATACAATGCGACACGGGAGAGATGGACGAAATGCCTAGCCGACATGCTGCTCTTCACGAGAACCCTGAAATGCTCGTAGTTCTGTTGAGAAAGCATCTGGCTGTTGTATAGTAGTCATGGCGTGTCAGGGAGCTGGGCATTATTGATTATGAAATAAACTAGAGGGCTAAGTCGTATCCAGTCTTGATGTTTCTCCACGATAAGTTATGTAGCATACGCGAGTCAGACCTTGCAACCTTTGCCATCGATGCGTTCAGCGCCGTAACCCTTCGTTCGACGCACGACCAACTCAGCAGGTCCTTATGGCACGGCAACGCTGCAGCTTGACAGTCCTCACCGTTCTCGTGTTCGCGTTGTCTTCTCATTCGGTAACGCGCTCATCGGCCACCGAAACTTACGATGTGCTCTTTTACTCCGCCGGACCCTACACCCCGTGCGGCACGTCGGGTAACTTCTCCGCGGTCGGCGTGCAAGGCGCATTAGAGCCGTACAAGGGAGAGGCGGCATCGCCTAAAGGACAAGCGATATCGGGGCGAGTGACCATTTACGATGACTGCTACTTCGCGCTCTCAGATCTCAGGTGCCTCTCTTCCGCTCCCCGCACCCTCCGCTCTTCCTCTCATCGCAACTCCAGCTCACCGCAACCAGGGCCAACTTTCGCCCTTGATCCCTCCCCATCCTCGCGTAGCTCCTTAATCCCACACTAGCGACCATCGCTCCTCTCTCGACTCACACTTCCACCCATCCCCTCCTCTTAATCCTTTCCCCCTGCCACCCGTCCACTCCCTTCCCCACGCCCCGCTTCGCAGCATTGGCACGGCCGTGGACGCGCCACTGTCCATCTGGGCGGGCCCCAAGGACGTCGACCCCTACTCGCACGCCGCGCCCGTCGACCCCTACGCCGCCTCCTCCTTCCCCGCCTCCGCCGCCTCCGCCTTCGCACCGGCCAGCACCACATTCAACCTCACGGCGACGTCGCTGATGGCAGTGTTTCTGCAGGCGGGCGGACTCACCTGGGACGAGGCGCAGGTGCTTTACCTCTGCGCTGGGTCCGCCTCCGCGGGAATCACGCGGATCTACGCGCAGTTCGCGGTGGGCGGGCGGGAACACGCGGGCCCGCACGGCAAGACCGTGCGGTGGGTGCGGAAGACGGTCGGGGCGGCCGCGAGGGAGCAGCGCCTGCTCTTGCCGTCGCCCCCCGCTCGCCCGCCCCCTCCGCCCCCCAAGCCGCCTGCGCCGGGCAGCAGCGGGCCGTCCGTCGGGCTGACCAACTGCGTGGAGGCCGTGCCAGGGCGGCTGAACATGTGAGTGAGCGGGGACGGAGGCTTGGGTGGGGCGGGGAGGAAGAATGGGTAGGCGGCGGAGAGAGAAAAAGGCGGAGGGGCGAAAGCATTGCGCCAGTCCTCCCAGCCTTTTTCACTCATCACACACACCCCTCCGCCCTTCCTACCCCGCCCCCTCCCACTCCCCTCTTGTTTCTGTGTGTGTGCGGTTGTGCATGGCGGGGTGTTGGTTCTATGGTGTCGGCGGCGGCAGATACTGGACCGTGCATCACGGCGACTCGGACGCAGGTGCCGCGGGACCGCCGCAAGACGTGTCCGCAGTCACCGGGTCCTCGACCGCGCCCGGCAGCAGCAGCGCTGGCAGCGGCGCCGGCGGCGGCGGCGGGGGGAAGGGGCCGGTGGTGGAGATAGGGATGGAAGCGCGCGTGGGCGAGGGGTCGTGGGTGGCGGTGGGCGTGTCGCGCAACCAGACGCGCTTCGCCATGCTGCAGAGCGACGTGACGGTGGGCGGCGTGCTGGCGGGCGGCGGAGGGGTCTTTGCGCGCGACTACCACGTCACGGCCAAGCAGACGTGCCAGCAGGTCGCGGGCGGCTTTGTCGGCGTGTGCGAGGTGCGTGTAGGCGTGTGCGAGTGCTCAGCACTGGGTGTAACGTGTGTCCGCCGGTCCATCATCTCCCTCCCCATCTCGGCCCCCCCCATTCGCTCACGTTACTCCTCCATCACTCCCTCAGCACACTACTTTCCCCTTCCCCTTCCCCCATGTCTCCCTCCGTTTCATCCCCCCACCCTCCGCCCATCTCGCCGCAGGACGCGCTGCTGGGCTCCTCCCCCACGTCCCTCAACGACGTGACCCTCGTCTCCGCGTCGCGCCGCGCTGACGTCACCTTCATCCGCTTCACCAAGCCCGCGGCCACGGGGGACGACCGCTTCGACGCCAACCTGCTGCGCGCGCCGGGCCTCTCCGCGCTCTGGTGGGTCGTCTTCGCGGCGGGCCCGCTCGCCCCCGCGTCCAACGCCGCCGCGCCCACGCTGCTCTTCCACGACCCCGTGCTGGGGTACTTCTCTGGCGGCACGCGCATCCCCTTCGCGCCGCCCGCGCCCATCCGCACCTGCTCGCCCCTCTGGGGCACCAAGCCCGAGTACCACCCCCCGCTCCCCCCGTACGCTCCCCCGCCTCCGCCCGGAGCCGCTGCCCCGCCCCCGCCTGGCGCGGACGCGGCGGGGGGCGTGGCGGGGATGCCGGGGCTGCGCGAGTGCAGCACGGCGGTGGGCGGGCAGGTCTACGCGTTCGACGCGTGCGACGCGCTGCCCGGCGGCTTCCTGCTGATGTGGTCGCTCGCGGGCATCACGCTGCGCGCCGCGTTCGTCGCGCAGGCCGTGCCCGACGGCGGGTACGCCGCCGTGGGCCTCTCGCCCTCCGGCGCCGTCGCCAACTCGAGCCTGCTCGTCGTCTCGTACGCGCACGCGGAGCGGGGTGCCGGGAAGGCCGCGGGCGCGGGGGCAGGCGGGGCGGAGGTGGAGGTGGGGCAGGTGGTGGTGCGCGCGGGTGCGCGGGGCGTGGGCGTGGAGGCGGTGGGGGGGGGGGATCTGACGGTGGTGAGCAGCGTGGGGCAGGCGCGGAACGGCGCGCTGACGCTGCTCTTCTCGCTGCTGCTGCTGCCGAACCAGACGGCCGCGGCGTACCTCGTGTGGACCAAGGGGCAGCGCGCGCAGCTCTCACTCCCTGCTGCCATTGCGGCCAACGACACGGGGGGGGTGCTGTCGCTCGATGGGCTGGACGCGCTGATGACGTCAGCCATCAGCTTTGAACGCGGCAAGCCGAAAGACGACTCCAACGACACCATCCGGCTGTGGAAGGTGCGCGGTCACTCTTCTGCTCTTCCCCACCCTCCCTGCTCCCCTTTCCACATGTCATCTCCCCATCCCCCCTTGCTCCCAAATCTGCTTTCTTCATGCTCCTTGCGTGCTGCTCGCCCTGCACGCTGCTCGCCCTCGCCTCGTGCCATCACGTGATCTCCATGTCTCACCGTCCTATACCTTCACTCACGCCCTCCCGTCCCCCTGGCCCGTGCATCAGATTCACGGCATAATCAGCACGGTGGCGTGGGCGTTCCTCATGCCGCTGGGCGTGATGGCAGCGCGCTACCTGCGCCAGGTGTACGCGCGCTGGTTCCCCGTGCACCAGGCGCTGCACCTGGCTGCCGCGTCGCTGGGCACGGTGGCATTCACCATGGCTCTCACCATGCCGCACGGCGCCATCCAGGGCCGCGCCGATGAGGCGTCACGGGGGGCGTGCGTGGTGGCGCACACGGCCATGGGTATCACGCTCATGGTCATCGCCGCACTGCAGGTGGGTGGGGTGGGATGGGGGTCGCTGGCTGTGTGCTGTGCTGCTGTGTCATGAGGGGCGTGCGTGCTGGCGCATACTGCCATGCCCATCACACTCATGCTCATCGCTGCACTGCAGGTGCTCATGCATGCGGCCGTAAACTGGGGTAACTGGCTCTCTGCTCTGCTGTGCGCTGCTCTCTGCATCCTTTTCCTTACATCCCCTCCCCTTATTGCCGCCTCCTGATGTCTCTCCCTCGCTCCCTATTCATTCAGATTCTCTCCCTACTTCCTTCCCCCAATCCCCCTTCCCTTAACGCCAGCTGTCGGCGCTGGTGTGGCGGCCGCACGAGGACAGCAAGTGGCGCCCGTACTGGCGGAGGGTGCACGCCGTGGGAGGCGCAGTGGCGCTGGTGCTGGGGCAGGCGCAGGTGCTGGTGGGGCTGTTCATCTCCGCGGCCCCGCTCTTCTACACCGTGCTGCTGGCCGCCTGGCTCATCTTTGCGCTGCTGCTCACCACCGCCCTCGAGCTCCACTTCTTCCCCACCTTCTACCGCCTCGCCCACTGCTGGGACTGCCTTCTGGGCGGCGACGCTGACGTGGCGTCTGACGTGGACAGCCTCTGCGCGTCCAGTGAGAGGCTGGCGGGTGGCGCGGCCAGGAAGGGGGCGGCGGCGGAGGGGGCAGGCGGCGAGGGGGGGAAGGGTGCAGCAGGGGGGTGGATGGCGGGAGTGGTGGCGGTGCTGCGGCGCAGCAGGGGCGCCGGCATGCTGCCTGAGCGGCCCAGGGGGCGAGGGAGGACGGCCAAAGGGGGGAAAGGTGAGGGGAGGCAAAGGGGAAGACGAGGGGTTGTGCAAGGGCGAGCGGGGGCGAGTGAGAGGGCGGGGAGAGGGGGCAGTGTGGGAGCGGGGCACAGCGGGTACATGAGCATGGCGGGCGCCAACGCTGCCACCGACCGCCGCTCCAAGGAGCTGCTGCCCGCTCTCCCACCCCCACACCCTCCCCGGCCCCTGCCACCCCCTGTGCTGTCGGCCCTGCCGCACTCAAAAGCACCTGCACCCCCCACCGCTGGTGGCGCTGCTGCTGCTGCTGGTGGCGGGATTGGCACAGAGGGGGCAGGAGCTGATGGGGGGAGAGCGAAGGGGGTGGAGGCACGGGCGGGGACGTTTGGCCAAAGCCAGACGGTGGCAGAGGGGGGTTGCAGAGAGGCTGGCGGCACTCTCGACCGTGGCGCTGCTGCTGCTGCTGCCGCTGCTGCCACTGCTGCCGCTGCTGCCACTGCTGCCGCTGCTGCCACTGCTGCCGCTGCTGCCACTGCTGCCGCTGCTGCCGCTGCTGCCACTGCTGCCGCTGCTGCTGCCACTGGTGACACTGTTGGTGGTGGCAGTAGTTCAGGTGCCAGCAGCCAACCACGAGGTGTGTGGGCGGGTGGAATGGCAGCATGGAAGGCGGAGGAGGCAGCGAGAGAGAGAAGGGGAGAGGGAGTGAGGGAGGGAGTGAGGGAGGGAGTGAGTGAGTACATCCGCACGGACAAGTACAATGTACGGGCCACGGTGGTGAGGGCGCCCGACCTTGCTGTGCGAGGGAGAGCCGCCCGGCACGGTGGGGCAGGTGCAGCAGCAGGTGGGGTGGGGCCGGGCAGCACAGTGGGCAAGGCGGGTGAGTCAGCGCAATAAGTGGAGAGCCAGGAGTGGTGCATGCCTGCGACGTGTGTCAGCTTGTCACACATAGCATCTATCAGTGCCATACTCCAGCGTGTGAGGCTGCATCAGTCTGTAGTACCGTACATGTAGTGTGTGGCATGGTTCGCCACTCCTGGCTCCGTAGGATGTGGTTCGCCAATGGAGACTCTCTCAGGGGGCCTTCCTGTTCAGGTGCTGCTCCACCCACATTAGTGCATAGCACAATTGATTACGCTGATCACATGCCCACGTATGTTAGAGCGTGTTCCTACGGACCCCTATCAGGCTAACCCGTTGTCAGGCTGGTGCGTGCGAGCGATTTCGTTATTAACACCGTTTTCCAGACTTGAAAAATTACAATGCTGTTCGATGAATTGGTCGAGCGAAATCTTTGACACGTGCTGTTGAGTTACCCTTGTCAACCAATCGCGCGAAATCTTTCGAAGGTGCTGTTTCAGCGAGCCATGGTCAGTGAATCGCGCGAAATTCTTCAACATGCTGTTTTGTCGGGTATGAAACATACAAAGACTTTTCCGCCAAACACACGTTTCAATCGTCTGGAATTTGTCTGAACTCGGAATTTTGTTCCTTTGCAACCTTTCGGGACCGTTGCGCAGTGCCACGTCACCCAACGCATTTTGTCGCGCACTTCACAAACAATCAAAACGTCTAATACAAAATGCGTCTAATCTGAAATTCTGGTGTTTGAGGCGAGTCTGACAAGGGGCTGGCCTGATAGGGGCCCTTAGGAACACGCTCTTATGCTTTACATCACAGCCCAGTGGGTTGGGTTATATGGTAGTCTGCCTACAGATTTAGTTCGGTAGACTTGTTCAATGCACTAAAACATACAGTCGGCATTTCATCAGAAGCTACGGTATAACCTAGTGTGCTGCTTTTTGCAGCATGTGGAACATGTAGCAGGATGAGGAGGCCTTTGCACCTGTGCTCCTTAACCTCCTGCCCTTCTGTCATGCCATGTCACGTTGTGGCCACGCTGCATCTGCATGCGTCATGCCTCATATTGTACAGTAGAGTGGAGTCAGGGCGACAAGATTCACAGGGAGGTGGCATCACAGGGAGGTGCCGACGTGATTGTAGAGGGAGTCGAAGCCGTTGAGCCAGCAGGGCAGCGAGTAGAGCAGCAGCCCAAGGGCAAAGGATGGCACGATGGTGAGCAGCGCGTAGCCGTAGGCCTTGGCGGGCGAGCGCAGCGTGTAGTGCAGGTACAGGGCCTCCAGGGACGGCATTGACACCGTGCTGAGACACGCCAGGAAGCCTAGCTGCATCGCCCCCACTGCCACCTTGCTCGTTGTGCTCTGGTACTGCAAGGTGAGGAGAACGGGGAAGACAGGGGCGTGCAGGAGAGTGAGCATGGCGCGAGTGAGGCGGTGACAAGAGTGGTGCGGATGGTGTGGGGAGGGGTGCGGAGGCGGGTGGGGCAAATCGGTGGGAATAGAGGGAGGGAGTGGGGGAGTGGTGCGGGAAGGGGAATGATGAGGACAGACAGAGGGGTGCACAAGATGAGAGCGGCAGAGGCGCACCTTGAGGAAGAGGATGGAGATGGCGGCTTCCACCGCCGCTGCAACCACGTTCGCCATCCACGTGCCCCACGGCATCCACTCCCACCCGCGCGCGCCCTTCCCTGATTCCGCCAGCAGCGCCGTTTCCGACGCAGCGCAGGGAGGGCCGGCGCAGGGGAGGAAGGGGAGGCGGAGGGGGAAAGGGCCCCCGTTGAAGCGCAGGAGGAGGAAGCGGAGGTGGGTGCCTAAGGGGGCGAGGAGGCAAGCGCAAGCTAGCATGCGCCACTTGAGACAAGTGGGGGGGAGCAGCAGCGCGCAGAGTCCCGCCAGCAGCAGCATGGCGGCGGAGAGCAGCAGCATGGTGAGCATGTGGTGGCGGTGGTGGGGGGGATCGGACGGCGGAGCAGGCGCGGGGAGCTTTGTGCCTGGAAGCGTGCAGGGCAGGAGGGAGGAGGCGGGAGAGGGGGGCGCGCAGGCGGAGGCGTGGAGGATGGCCGTCCCCGCGTCGACGCCCGCGACGAGCGCGACGAGGGGGAGCGCGGAGCCGGTGAAGTACCCGAAGGCGGCGCGCGCCCAGAGCCCCGCCGTGGCGATGGACACCATGCGCTGGTTCCACGTGGCGAACGTTGATATGCTGCCGCACAGCCCCACGACGACGGCGATGGCGAGGTGGCGCGAGCGCGCGAGCAGCGCGGGGAGAAGCGGGATGGCGGAGAGGCCGAGGAGGAACGCGCCGAGCATGTTGGCGGGCAGGTCGACGAAGACCGTCAGCGCGTCGTCCGTCACGTGCGCCACGTTCGGGCCGAACAGCTCGTCCAATAGAAACTGAATGCACACCTGCGCGCGCGGAGGGGAGAGGCGGAATATGGTAGCTGAAGGGGGTTAGAGGAGGAACGGAAGAATTCGGATGCGTGGTGCAATACGCACGAGTCGGAGGGGAAGAAGCTGTTGGGGGGTGTGCGCGCGCGCGCACGAGGAAGGAGGGGCCGACACGCACCCCAATGATGGCGAACGGTGTGATGTGCGCCACGAGGCTCGCGCCGTCCATCCACCGCTCCCACCGCTCAGCGCGCTCTATTCCGTCCGCGCAGTCCGCGCGCTCGCAGACGCAGGAGGGTGGCGCGTCGAAGAATCCCATGTGGCTGGCGTAGCAGAAGTCGGACCCCGTCACCTGCCGCGCGCGCGCAGCATGGGGGAACGGCGGAAGGCATGGGGGCAAAGGGGGGCATACAAGTGAGACGGGGGTCACGGAGACGAGGCCTTGAAAACCCTGTGTTCGGAAAGAAGGAGCTAAGCAACCCCCACAACTCTGCTCCTATTCTCGCGCCTCCGTCCTACCGAGCACTTCAACCCCGCCTTACAACTGTCCGCCTCACCTCGTCCACGGATGTAAGCGGAAGGGCGTACTTCCGCCGACGACGACTGGCGCGGCAGATACAAGCCGCGCCGCTGCCTGTTTCCACCTCTTGCGTCACGCCGTCCCTCCCTGCGACGGGACTCGCGCTCGCCGTCGATACGCTCCCGCCGCAATTGGTGCTTTGCGGAGATCCCAGGTCGATCTGGCTCGCGAGCTCGGCGCGCTGCTGCCCAGTGGTACTAGCATTGGGCTCCGCGTTGCACGGCGCAGCAGCGGCGGCGTCAGTGAGCGGCCGCTGATCCGCGTGTGCGCTTCCCGTGCTCCTTCTACTAGAAGGCTCAGATGCCGTGGCGCCCACTCGATTCGACGCCCTACTCTTATCCGAACCCGCTGCTGCTGCTGCGGCGCCACACGATGACAATCCGCCACTCCCCTGCCTCCCCGTGTCGCTGTGGCTTGCAGCTGCTGTGGAGGGGCATGCGAGCACAGCAGCATCCTGAATGCCACGTGACGGACGCGCCACGTCAGTTTCGGGCACTGGAAGCGTGGGTCGCGGGTTGTCGCTCATTGTCCGGCTGAGAAACGGCTTTGGAAGCGATGGCAAGGCGGAGCCGCGGAGTAATTGCACGTGCCCCTATCAGACTCAGCAGACAGCGGTGCGCACAGCGACGATAGCGTGCGGATTCCAGCGCTAACGGAGCCCGGCCATCGCGCAACAGCTCGTTCTAAGACAACATGCAGCCAATTCCAGCAGACGATATCTCTAGTGGGGATCCGTAGTTAGAGGGTTGAATAGAGAGGGAGAACCCGCCGCTAATAGATAAATCAGACTGGCGAGGTAATACAGTGAAATAGGATGAAATCTCAAGAAGCACGAGCGACCCAAAGTCCTGAATGCAATTCCAGCTAATACGCAATGGTCAAGAGCGAAGTCGCAGATTAACTCGGTGGAGGTAGACTTGGTTGGAGGTTGCTTTGCCTTGGTTAGTCAAGAGAGGGAAATATCGTGCTGGTGTAGGCATTGTAGGGGGAGGTACATGCGAGGGCCGTTTTGCTTGCATGGGGGAAGGCGAAACCATTCTGCACGCGCACAGCGGGGCGTGGTGGTGTGGCTGTGGCTCGCAGAGGTAGGGCACTGCTGGTGCAGACAATCGGGGGTAACAGGGGAATGTCGTTGGTGGGCGGGATCATCATGAATAGCGTGGGGTGGGGAGGGGAATTCCCGTTGGGGATGGGTGGGCTGCGGGAGAAAGGACAAGGGGCCTGCTCAGGGGCAGGTGTGGTTCAGATGGCCTTCCTGGGCTGTCCCAACTTCGAACTTGGGACAGTGAAAAAATGCACTTCGCACGTGCAAGAGATTGGGCAGGTGATGAGGTGAAAGGAGAACGAATCTGGACGTCGCAGTGCTGGTACTAGGTAGTGTACTGGTGCGGCTGAACCTGCATCCGCGGAGCCTGTCACGCCCCTCCGAGCCAATCCATTTCCCCGCACTGGAGTCTCGAAGGGGCAGGAGAGGTTGGCAGCTGGGTTTGGAGGAGTGAACAAGAGCGGGGCGGAGAAAAAGAGTGCCCTTGAGTACTTCGAGGAGGCGGAAGGATGAAGCCTCGAATGCTAGTCACGGTATGGTGGATGGGCCGAGCACGCTGGATTGGACCATCCGTCAGCTGCAGCAGCCAGCCAATAGAAAGGAAAGGTGAGGTTTGGTCCGTAGCGGTGGAGGAGGAACTCTTTGCATCAGCCGCTCAGTCAGCGTGCGCCACGTCGGCCAAGTCACAAGTGCGTAGAACAGTGACACACCAACATAGATGATACCTGCACTGCCTGAAACTGCCTGGGATCTAAACGGATGTCGTTTCGATACAGAAGTATCCCTTTTCATCTCGATCAAACTCTCCAATCCAATAGCGAAACATTTCAACACTCATCAAAGTCAAACCATCCAGGGTGTCAGGAATTTTCTCGATAAGAGCGTGGAACATCCTTTGAAACAAGGAGGAACATCCTTTTGAACAAGGAGATGGTCGCCCAGCAGCGACAGTAACCTTTGTTGCGAACATCGCCATTGACCTACGAAGCTGACTGACGAAGACTCCATGAAGCACGCACGTCCACAGCTCATGCTCGTTGGTCGCCCCACTCGTTGAACCTCGCGGATAAGACAAGTGGCGACGCCAGGGAAAACATGCTAAATGAAACGAGGTGTTGTCGTGAGTGACGTGCTGCAACCCAATTTGCAGGGTGGCGTTTGACGAAGCATGCGCTTTCGTGTATCATCCCGACTCCATTTTTCTGGGCGACCAAGTGTTTCCAACTTGGGATGTGGGGTTTTGAGTGTTACCTGACGAAAACTGTCGCAAACCGTTGACGAGACAAATGTTCGACCAAAGAGCCGACAGGACACTTGTTCATAAGGATGTTCCACGCTCTAAACATCGCGTACAACAGCAACCGTTATGGTCGTCATTGACAGGCTGATGAAAATGGCATACTTTGCTGCGTGCAAGAAGTTGATCTCAGCCAAAGAAACCGCTCGCCTGTTCATCGCAGTCGTCGTACGCCTCTACGGGTACCAGCGGCGATTATCAGCGATAGAGACACAAAGTTCACCAACAATTTCTGGAAGAACCTCCGGGAGCACTTCGGGACTAGGCTGCAGTTCAGCTCGTCGTACCACCCCGAGACCGACGGTCAAACGGAACGGACGAATCGGACGATGGAGCAGTTGATTTGTGGCACGTGCGATCACCCGATAACTAGGGAGCAGCAGCTACTGCTGATCGAGTTCACGTACAACAACGCCACGTCAGCGACGACGCAACAATCCCCGTTTTACCTGAAGTACGGGCAAAACCCAAAATTGCCCATGACGTCGAGTCCTGGCTGTTGGGAATATAAACGCATGACTTAGTGCGTTTCTGTAGTATCGAACCTCACCCGATACTGAAGCACAACAAAAGGGGTATGAAGTCAAAAAGGCGCGTACCACATCAAACCGCAACTGGAGGTTGCGAGCTGTAACCGCCTGGAGGTTACGTAACAGCAAGCGACGCTTCAGTGAACAGTAACCGCCTCGATAGTCGAAGCGTTACGCGTCTCGATAAACATAACCGCTTCCTGTAATCTATCTTTCCTATATATTCCTGTATGCTCTTTGCTTTAATCAATTACTTGTTCTCACATACCAGCACAAGTACATTCACTCAAAAGACTTCCGCTGTGCTACTCTAGCACCTACTAGCCTATTCTCTGCAAAGATCCTAAGGCTGAAATCCTCAGCCCAACATGGTATGAGAGCAGTCAGAGAACAAAGGCTCTCGTCACTAAGCCTCTTCCAGGCTACCGATCTGCAAGCAACCAAGAAGTTCAATCTTCATTCAAGAAAGGCAAGACATGGCAAGTGGCAAAGAAAGAAGATCATCTACGGGATCTACTCTACCCCCGATCTCCGAGTTGCAGACCGAAGGAGGAACAACGCCCGGATCAACGCCGGAAGCGACGGAACGTTCTACTCAAGCGCCAGTAGCGCCGCCAACAATCTTCAACCCAAGCTTAATGGAGGAGTTCTTCAACTTCATGTCGCAGCAGCAGTCCTCACAACCTGCAAACAGCAACAGCGTAAACAACGGAGCGGCACCAATGAGTATTGACAACTCATCGTTCGGACGACATAATCAACAAACACCAAATTCGGTCTCACCTGGTTCCTTCACGTTCATGCCGCCTCGCCATCCAGCGACCCCTCTTCCCGCCATCAAACGAGACACCGAAGAAGTCATGCAAGTACAAGCACAGTTCAACAACATCCTGCGACTGCACACATCCACACCATTCAACGGGAAGGACTTCTACTCTTGGAGCTTCGAGTTTGAACTCCTGATGGAAGGCGCGAATCTTCTTGGATTCTTCAACGGTACCTGGCCATATCCACACAACGGCGAAGACAAAGACAAAGAAAATTATACGTATCACTCCCTGATGGCTTACACCGTTCTTCTCCGAAACCTGTCGCCGAACGAACAACAAAGCATTCGCGCCTACCGGAACTACGCAAACTCCGCGGAACTCGCCTATCAACATCTGCGAAGCATTCATCAAGCATCCGACAGCGTTACACAAAGCCGACTCATGGCACAACTGACAACAGTTCAAATGCAACTTGGAGAAAAGGCCATGCCTTACATCAGACGGTGTCAAGGACTACGCGACAGACTTATTCGCTGCGGAGGAAACTTATCTGAAGAAGCTTTCGTAACCGTCGTTCTTGCCGGCCTTGGACCTCAATGGCGCACCACCCGTTCACTTCTTCGCAATCACGGTCGACTCTCCGAAATGCATCTCTGCGCCGAACTTCACGCCGAGCAGCAGAAAATGGACCTGTTCGAAGAACGCAACAACAAAAGGCATCATCAACCAGCTGTTCTTTACACCAATCGACGACAGCCACGTTACCAAAACCGAGGACACGTACCTCCTTATTGTCATCTGTGTCGGACTTCAGGACACACACGCTTCAACTGCCCTCAGCAACAACGACAACCAGCACCATTCTTTCGTCCTCTGCGACCCGCGCCTCCCCACATCGCGTCAACTCAACAACGACCCGCTACCGCCTCAACGACTACTTCAACGCGACCGTCAACTTCCACTTCGGGACCTGCATAGACATCAAGAATCGTCGCCATGGCACGAACTGTCAGAATTATATTTATTATAACTGCATGTAGTTCTAGCTGTAGTGTAGTTATTAAATTTGTAGGTGGTGCACCTCTTCATGTGTTCCTTTGCTATATGTACTTCGAATGCTATAGTGAAAACACATTCTCCAATTTCTCTCTCACAACTCACTCGACATCGCTCCTAAGGAAAACCCGCTCGATACCTAGTTAGGGCCTAGGCTACTAAGCCTAGGCCCCACCTTTCAACTCCTGTTCTTCATTTCTATTACTTTCGACATGTTATCGGAGCTGAGTTTGTCCTGGCCTGTGGGCCCGCTTTACTTCCGCTGCTAAAATTTTACGGTCGCGCGCCTAAGGCGCGTGACGATTTTATTCTTTACCTTGTCCCGCCCACGGGCGTGTGACTCCTACCCTGCCCGTCGCGCGCCCCGTGGCACGCGACGGTGCCCTTTATCTGCCCATCGTGTGCCTCGAGGTAGACGATGGTGCCCTGCTCGTCGTGCGCCCCGAGGCACACGATCGGGCCCTTTTATCCTACCCGTCGTGCGCCCCGTGGCACTGGCCCGCGACGGTCCTCTCCGCCCCTGCACTCCCTGCTGCCGCCCCTGACCCATCTGCACCGACGCCTCTTCGCCGCTCTGCGGCTTTCTTCCTTCCCACCCCCCCCTTTCTCTTGTCTCCCTGCAGCCGTGGGGAGGAGGGTATGGGGGTGGAGGGTGTTGGAGCGTGGGGTCAACTCTCTCCCTTCCCCTCCTCCTTCTTTCAGTCCCACCGCTGCAGCTGCCGCTGGGGGGGGAGGGTGTGAGGATGTGGGTGAGCAGGGGGAGTGGTAACGGGGTGGCGGGTGTGAGGCAACAAGCAGCCGTCCCTCCACCTCTCCTCTCTTCCCCCC